TAGTTCTGCTGTTTCTCTTTGAAGTCTGTTTCTGAAGTTTTTTTGTTCAATGATAGTGACTTTTAAATCTGTAATAGAATGACCAGGGAGATTGAAGTGATGTTATTCCATTGTGCCAGAAAAGGGCACCTCTTTCAGGTCTAACTACAGTAGAACCTCAGAATTAGGAAAACTTCTGGAATTGAGATTGTTTGTAACTCTGAAATGTTCTGAACTCTGAACAAAACATTATGGTCATTCTTTCAAAGGTTTACAACTGAACATTGACTTAATACAGCTTCGAAACTTTATTTTGCAGAAGAAAAATGCTGCTTTCCCTTTTTTTAGTAATTTACTTTTGACATAGTACTGTACTTGCTTGCTTGCTTTTTTTGTCTCTGCTGCTGCCTAATTGTGTACTTCCGGTTCCAAATGAGGTAAGTGGTTGACTGGTCAGTTCATAGGTGTTCGTAACTCTGAGGTTCTACTGTACAACTTGTTGCTCTTTTCTCAACAAGTTATTAAATCCTCCACTATCCAGCAATGAAAAATTGAGAGTCTGTGTGTGAGATGCAGTTCTGCAATTGCAACATGGTTTAAAGGTGCAACATGTTGAAAAGCCCTCTATCAGAATAACTTTTGGAAAGATAATTGTGAAGGAAAAGATGAAAACAAAGAGCTAAACCAAGCAATATCCAGCAATTATTATAGTGATGAATTCTAATTTAAAATGGTGAAAGCATTAGAATGTGGACACATAATAGACATTATTAACTCGGAGAAAGAAAGATGGCTTTTCCTTTTCAGTGCAGGAGGAATAACTGCTATTTTATTAAAATAGCAGCTCAGTGACATACAATGCTTACGTACTGTATTTTATTATGTATTATTCATATTGCACTAAAAGTGTTCTAAGAACATAAGAACGGCCATACTGTGTCAGATCAAAGGTCCATCTAGCCCAGTATCCTGTCTTCCAACAGTGGCCAATGCCAGATGCCTCAGAGGGAATGAACAGGTAATCAAGTGATCCATTCCTTGTCTCCCATTCCCAGCTTCTGGCAAACACAGGCTAGGGACACCATCCCTGCCCATCCTGGCTAATAGCCGTGGATGGACATATCCTCCATGAATTTATCTAGTTCTTTTTTGAACCCTGTTATAGTCTTGGCCCTCACAACATCCTCTGGCAAGGAGTTACACAGGTTGACTGTGCATTGTGTGAAAAAATACTTCCTTTTGTTTGTTTTAAACCTGCTGCCTATTAATTTCATTTGGTGACCACTAGTTCTTATGTTATGAGAAGGGGTAAATAACACTTCCTTATTTACTTTCTCCACACCAGTCATGATTTTATACACCTCAATCATATCCCCCCTTAGTCGTCTCTTTTCCAAGCTGAAAAGTCCCAGTCTTATTAATCTCTCCTCATACAGAATCTGTTCTATACCCCTAATCATTTTTGTTGCCCTTTTCTGAACCTTTTCCAATTCCAATATATCTTTTTTGAGATGGAGCAACCACATCTGCATGCCGTATTCAAGATGTGGGCGTACCATGGATTTATATAGGGGCAATGTGATATTTTCTGTCTTATCTATCCCTTTCTTAATGATTCCCAACATTATGTTCACTTTTTTGACTGCCGCTACACACTGAGTGGATGTTTTCAGAGAACTATCCACAATGACTCCAAGATCTCGTTCTTGAGTGGTAACAGCTAATTTAGACCCCATAATTGTATATGTATAGTTGGAATTATGTTTTCCAATGTGCATTACTTTGCATTTATCAACATTGAATTTCATCTGCCATTTTGTTGCCCAGTCACCCAGTTTTGAGAGATCCTTTTGTAGCTCTTAGTTACGTCCCAGGCAGACTGTGATCTTGAGTAGTTTGGTATCATCTTCAAATTTTGCCACCTCACTGTTTACCCCTTTTTCCAGATCATTTATGAATATGTTGAATAGGACTGGGCCAGTACAGACCCCTGGGGGACAACAATATTTTTCTCTCTCCATTCTGAAAACTGACCATTTATTCCTACCCTTTGTTTCCTATCTTTTAATGTTACCAATCCATGAGAGGATCTTCCTTCTTATCCCATGACTACATACTTTGCTTAAGAGCCTTTGGTGAGGGACCTTGTCAAAGGCTTTCTGACAATCTAAATATACTATATACACTGGATCACCTTGTTCACATGCTTGTTGACCCCTTCAAAGAATTCTGGTAGATTGGTGAGGCATTATTTCCCTTTACAAAAACCATGTTGACTCTTCCCCAACAAATTATGTTCATCTATGTGTCTGACAATTTTGTTCTTTACTATTATTTCAATCAGTTTGCCCGGTACTGAAGTCAGGCTTACCGACCTGTAATTGCTGGGGTCACCTCTGGAGCCCTTTTTAAAAATTGGTGTCACATTAGCTATCCTTCAGTCATTTGGTACAGACGCTGATTTAGTAGTCCTGCAATTTCACATTTGAGTTCCTTCAGAACTCTTGGGTGAATATCATCTGGTCCTGGTGACTTATTACTGTTTAGTTTATCAGCTTGTTCCAAAACCTCCTCTAATGACACCTCAATCTTGGACAGTTCTTCAAATTTGTCACCTAAAAAGAATG